GACCTTGTTTATGCATTGAATACTTACAGTGAATAGTAATAGCTAAAATTTACGTATTTCTCTTTTATATTTATGTTAGAGCCATATCGTATTCTGATTAGGGAACGTAATACCTGTACTCAAGAAGATCCACTAATGACTATAGAGTTTCACTAACGTACGATTAATTTCATAACTCTGCTGTCAAGCTTGTTACAGAGATTTCCTTAAATTTCTCTTAAGTCAAGTTTCTCTGAACGTATTTTTCAGAAAACACATATGACTAAACACACGTATTGTTGTATATTATATTAATCTATTTTTTATAAATAATTATGTACAATATAAACATCAATAATTCAAAATCATTTAGTAAACATTTAAATGTAGAAAATTATTGGAGTTACAAATATTTATTCTATATTTACATTATTTCATGTTAATCTTTTTTTTTTTTGTTTATTAACTCTTAACGTGTTAGTATTAAAACGATATTTTTTAATATTATCCAACGTTATTTTCTTTTCTCCAAATGATTTCCCCCCAATATGTAAATACTAGGACAAATGTAATCGTAAAATTATTGTAGAGAATCTAAAGAAAATAACTTGCTTAGAAATGTTATAGGAATATTTGTTGAAATATAAAGTTATATTGTAACAAAATGTTTTTTTTCTTTTCTATCGTTTGTTGTTATAGTTTGCAGTGTAAAGTTTTTCATATCTATATAAATAGATAGAAGTATATATATATATATATATATATAAAGAAAGACAAAGAAAGCAGCTTAGAAAGCCAGATGAGGAGAGAGAGAAAGAAAAGAGTAGAGTAGAAGGAAAAGGTATGCTAAGGTACTGAAGAGAAGTTATTAATATTTATGTCGAGTCCATATAGAACCGTAGAATAGGTATACTTATGGAACGCAAATATTCCTTTATAGTTTATATAATATCTTTGAAATGTGTAGATGTGTTTTGATATATTACGTGTAAGTGATATATGTATTTGAACGGTTATATACATCAAGTAAGTATGGACAAGCGTGTTGCATAGTATACGTGACTATAGAGTACAGATTGCTTCTACGGAAGATCATAAGGAAGAATGATGGTCGTGTGAGACGACGATAGGATTTATATAGAAATGTCAACTGTTAGACAAGATAATAGACAATATTAGAGATTTACGTGATTGCTCTATGTTTCCTCTTGAATTTTGATCGTAATATTCGAATAGTCGAACTGTTCGACTATGCTTCGAAGTTTGTAATAGCTTCAAATGAATCAAACGTTTTTGATAGATAGTTTAACATTCTTTAATAGATATTTTAGAAATTCAATTGATATTTATTCATTTTTTCTTCTTATTTCAATTGTACAAATTAATACCAAATTGTGATATATTAAATACGATTGATTATTTTAATTGCTATTACTTTTCCTTGAAAATATTTACGTGGATTTTTAAATTGGAGGTTCCAACAATTCATCTTTCGTTATTCGTCTGACTTAGGTTCGACTTTAGACAAGTGCGTCGCTTATAATTACTACAATTCGCGTTATTAGACAAATGTATTGGTAAAATAAAGCCTTCGGCTTACCCAAACGGTGGTCGCAGCTGCACGAAAGGGGTTGGTGAAGGTGTACAGCTGTTTGCTAAGGGATCGCTAAGATTATCTTAAAGCTGTATTAAGAAAGGTAACGTCTGTGATGAATCGCATTTAGCAATAATACAAAAGATTTATATCGTGCGAGTATTTAAAAAGAAAAGAAGTAAATTAAATGTACATATATTACGAGTGTATTTATTTTTGATGTATACACACAAATTTTAAAAGAATATCGTTGATTTGTTTTCTAATGAAAAAAAAAAAAAAAAAAAAATGCACGTTACTTTCACAAAGAAATTTTACAGTATTCACCGTACTGCGATAATCCTACACAATGTCTATAAATTAATAATATGTATTTGAAAGCATGTATTTGGATTTACGGTTTACGGTTTACGGTTTAAATGAAATAAAAAATGTATTTGCAGAGAGATTGATGCTTGAGCGAGATGAGATAGAAGGATATTAGGTTTATTGTATAGTTGTACTTTGACCCGAGAAAATAATTTCATGGTAATCCTCTTGAGGTAATTTGGTTCGCGTCACGGAAAGATATTACGTACTTGATAATACCTTAATATATTACTTAGTCTCGAGGAGCATTTTCAAAAGTAAAAATGCTTTAATACTTTTTACTCACGCCACACGTTGTATTAACAGATCTATGTATACCAGAATACGATGAACCGTTTACAAAGAAAAGAAGAATATACCTGGCTATGCCATTTTGTGATTGTCGGTTTCCCGTATTTTAGACTTGAACGGCCGATGGCGTCAACGATTGCGTTCCTCTGACTCGCGGAATGTTTAAAAAGATTTTTATGGAAGAAATTTTTTGAACATACTGAAAACACGCTTGGATATAATCTCGAACGAAGGGTTTGTAAGAACGTGATTCAAGAAAAGAGTTACCGCTTTCTGAACACGAACGTACCTTCTACCGTTAGGTCATATACCTTATTATTAAATACAGGAAGTCACGAAAATATTTAGCTAGGATAATAGATGAACAATTTTACTTATAATTAATAAAAATTAATATCTTTTTAATACTGTCATCTATTAATATTAATTATATATATCTATATATTTGATTTTTATATGGGACCTTTTATTATTTGTGTTTTTTTAATTAATTTGATCGATTTAGATACTGTGAAGAACATCCTATAGATATATTTTAGTTCAAAGTATTTATTTATATGAGAAAGAAAGAAAGGAAGAGTGTGTGTGTGTGAGAGAGAGAGAAAGAGAGAAAGAAAGAGAGAAAAGTGGGAATCTTTCAGACGGAAAATCAAAATGAATTTGAAGCAATTCTTTTTAACAAGACTTTCGTTTTGTAACAATAATACAGAATTGTACCATGTTTTCATTATGTTCTCTGTTTTAACGATTAATCATGAAACTTAAAAAGAAGTATCATGTATATTGTATAAAATTTTTCAATTTCAAAAATTTATGTTAAATATATTATAAAAGATAAACCATTAAATGAGATATCAAAACGCGTTGAAATAAATATATTTAGTAATTTAAAGAAGACACTTTAATCTGACATAAGACAGATTATAATGTATATATACATATTCTTTTTGAATTTATTCAAAGATCTATGTAAAAGATATATCAAAAGGTGTAAAGAAAAAGATCCGAAAATTCTTTCGCATGTGTGTTGAACTTTAAACTTACGATACATGTAACTTTCATACTTTTTCGCGAAATATGAGATACGACTACTGAATTTCGTAGAACGCAAACGATAAAAGCCAGATGCATTTGGCCATATTGTCATTGGCTTTCCATACTTACATATCGAAATGTATCTAACAGTTATGCAAACAGTCCAGCAATAAAGCTGAGGTACATTATTCCTCGAGTTCAGAGAGTTTCTCGAATATTTACGGGCTGTGTGCCATGGCCACGGAATTGCATCAACTTTTCAAATAAGTCCGAATCGTCTTATAAATCTAGAGGGAGGAATACTATTCAACCTTTCTCTCTCTCTCTCTCTCTCTCTCTCTCTCTCTCTCTCTGTCACTTTACTGCACCTCTTTTTCTTTAGCAAGTTCGTCGCAAGACGCGAGACAGTTGTTATTAACTCTAAGTTGCACGAAAGTATCAGAAAGTTCTTTCGCCTTACCCCCCCAACACAAATACATGGATACATACACGTATAAATGTATTTGTGTATACAGAAATCCTTCGGATGACATTCATAAGGAAAGCTAATTCACGAACTTGTCTCATTCTTTGGAAAATTAAACTTCAGTTTACCCAATGAAATTCGATAATGTTTTGTTTTTCTTTTTTATCTAGCACGTATTTATCATTATTTTTATACGCGCCTTTTTGTTCTTTTTGTTTTTTTCTTTTATTTGTGTTCTTTTAAACAGTTTTTTTCTTTCATGATTCCAGGTGAAAATAATAGGTAGATGTTATCAGAAACCGACGAATGTATCATTCGGTATTGTTGCATTGTGTTGAATAGGTAGAAAAGCTACGAACTGTGATCGTTACGACGAATACAATAAGTTTAACATGAATGAACGGTTATATACGGTGGTAAAAGATAACACGATATAGTTCGGAAATAATATTCATGACAAAATGGCTTTACGATGTAACAAGCTTTTTTACCCGAAGAAAAAACAAAAAGTCAAAGTTCGTAATTGTGTTTAATATTCGAGTTGTTTTTTTTTTTTTTACTTATTTAGAAATTTGTTAATATCATGAAAGTTTAACAAATTAATTAAAAAATTCGATATCGAAAATGAGCACGTTTCAATCTTGAGATTTTCCAATACCTAGTCTAAATGGCATCGGACTTATTCTTAAAATTACGAAACGGAAGAACTTTCAGTTAAACTTGAACTATCGAGTTTTAAAAGGAACTATCGCTCGGACTTTAACTAAACTTTGAATGACGATCGATTCTATTCGGTGTACTCAATTTTGGTCATCCGAATTAATCCTACGAATTTATCTTCAATCTCCGGACCTTGTTCGAGTCGTCCAGATCGTATATTAAAATGGAATTAGACTGTACTATAAACCGGAAATATACATTATTTAATAATAAAATCCTTTTTCTAAATTAAACTTGATATATATTATCAAATAAATAAATGAAATTTTATGCATTTCTATCGCGAGTACATTATTTATCAAATTTAATCTGCTTAAAGTATTAGATCTATCGAAAATTCAACTCGTCAAACGCACAATTTTGTTTTCATTTTCAAATACAACAAAGGAAATTGCTTTACAAAGCAAATAAGCATACTTTGTAATTACAAAAGATATCTGAAAGAGAAATTCTCCTTGTAGGATCATCAACAGAAGCAGATTAATGAAATTACGTGGTTCCCTTAATTTATTCGGCAAATATCAGATTTGATTACGTTAGACTCACACTCGGTCTGAGTAAACTGGAAACGTCCTTCTAACCAAACGATAGTGCCACTTCCTTTGAGGTGAATTCTGAAATAAAAAAATATTATTTTTAATATAATTACGCATATATTGCATATTTATTATGAAATAAATATATTAATATACGGCACAGAAATAATTATTCTGTCATATTATATATACGTCTATTCTAAGTTAATTAAAAAACTTAAAAAGATTCGTATATTCTGTCTGTCTTCCTTTATTATATTATCATCTATTTAAATTGCCTGGAATCTTCATTCCTTTCTCTGTTTATCCTTTATTTCCGATTCTCCAGTTTCATGAGCAGACTAATTGGAAAAAAAAAGGAATCTCAGTGTACGTGGTATATCGAAATACTATAAATATAATTATGAGTTAATATTATCTCTCTCTTTTTTTACGTTATTCAATATTTTTCATTTTTATTTTACAACTGGATATCTTTTTTCCCGTTAATAATTATATATATATATATATATTTTTTTATCAGTATTGACTTAAGACTCTTAGATATCAGATCTTAAGATTAAATTAGCATTTAATTCAGTAAATGCTAATAATTTGGTTATTGAGCATTTAAATATTAATCTTATAGAATGAACATAATAATAATTTTTGTAAGTTAATTGTTTAAAGCACGTGCTCGTTATTTTTCATCTTTTTTTTTTGTTTCTTTTCGAAATCCCCTTTTGCTTTTTCGTTACGAGAGTACATTAGCATCGTAGCTTTAACATTATACCGCCTTTTACAAACCCACTATACCTTTCCCGTTCACGATATTCGTAACACGCGACGAGTAGGTAGAATAGAATTTAATTACCTTAAGACACAAGGAGGATGAGAACGAAATCGAGGACAATGACGACGACGAAGACGACGACAACTACGATTATGGCGAAAGTAGGTATAAAAAATTACATTAGACGAGTTTTAACGTTGAACATGACCTAATTATATATGATAAATGCAAAAACCGTCGACACAGCAAAGCATCATCGTTTCTCTCGTTTTCGTGAAAGTATAACAGCAGGGCTGATGGTGGTTCATTAAAATGAACATTAAAGATAACGCAAAAGTTACCCTCCTCTTCTTCTACTGTACTTTACTCGCTCTTCCTTCTTTATTTTCTTTTCTTTTTTTCTTTTTTTTTTTTTTTACCTTCTTAAAGACTCCATTCGAACCACCTAACAAGATTATGTATATTCTTTTTTCTCCTTTTATTACTTATTTACTGGTAAATTCAATTTTAAAATGAAAAGACAAGTCTTATATACATATATATATATATTTTTTTTTTCCAATGAAATATTCGAATGAAATTGTTATATAATTTCAACGAAATACAAAATCTTGCATCTTTGTTCTTTTATTCTCTTTTTATTTATTAAATTCTTTTTTTTTTTTTTTTTTAATCTGTCGCGTTGAAAAGAGCTTCGCAGTACGAACTCCACTTTCTTTTTCTCAATTTCGTGTGAAATAAGCGTTTCCTCGTGTAGCTCTTTCTTGCTAGTTCTGTGTTTCTTCTTGCAACTAGCATAATACAAATTAAATTATTTTAAAGATCAGCCGCGAAAAGAGGTCAAAAGTAACACTCGCGAAAGAAGATAAGAAATTTTGCAGAGAAAAACGGAACGTTAGTTAATGGTAAGATGATATAAAAGTAGAAAAAAAAGGATAGAAGAAGAGGGTGGAAATCGTAAAGTAGACTCGAAAGAAGAACGAGAAGTTGAAGTATAATGTTGAGAGCGCTATTTTTATATATATATATATATATATATATATATTTAGGTAATATATAGCTTTCCGTGTGGAAAGTAATATTTACGAAATTTTGTTGTCACACGACATGAAAGAAAAACGTTACACGAGAATTTTAACTACAATAATTTATTCATAATTTTCAAATATTATAAATATGTTGTCTTTTTTTTTTTGAAGTGAAAACTTCTTTAGAATGGGAGTGATCTGAAAAGTAAATAAACGGAAACGGAGTTATGTAACGAAGCTATGAAACGGCTGCCGTACTAAATAATGAGAGAAAAAGAGACAAACATAGGATTTAGACTGCGAGGGAATGAGACGGAATATAGCTATACAGTTTTTCCTATTCTAGGTCTCCTCTTTATGCTATGCTTCGTAGTTATCGCTCCTGGTTGTATATGTGTGTGTTTGTGTGCGACTGCATACTACAAAGCGTGGACACGTATTCTTTCGACACTCGAAATGTTTGTAGGTAGGAGCGATAGAAGGATAGAAGAATAAACAGAGATAAGCATGTAGGTATGCGACAAAAGTATAAGGTCCAAACAAACCGACGGTCGACATAAACAAAGAAGGTGCGTGGTATGTTTTTTTTTTTTTACCAAACGTGTCATTTCTTTTCTATTTTTCTTTATTATTTCTATTTTTTCTAAGACCCTACGGACTTATCGGAAAGACCCTACGGACTTATCGGAAAAAACCTCACTACTTTTCGGAAAAAACCTTACTATAGAAGTGTTTAGTACACTAACAGAGGTGTTTAGTTACCATGCATTTTTTAGTTAGCAGAAGCAACTCGTCTCATTTCTTTGAATTGAAAACTTGCTTACTGTGTAATATGTTATCTATTTATATGTGTTTTTAATAAAACGTATAATAATTTTTGAATGTGATAACAAGAATATAATAATAATATTATAACAAATAAACCCAACAATTATCCTACTCCTGATATTCTGCAGTCGTCTCTTTTTCTCGAAATTTAGTTTTTCGAAGGTTTTACTTCTAACACGTGTAATCTGCCCACATGATATTTTTTTTTTTAAGAAACATGAATTAAAACAAAATTTTTTTTTTAAGTATATGTTTATTATAAATCGCTTGTTTTATCATAATACCATTGATAAGAAAGTATATAGGAAAAAAAAAGTAAAGTCAGCATCAAATGTTAAAATAAACTGCAACAATTTTCTATGTCATTTTCACCCCGTCGTGTTCTCTTTAACGAGCACGGAATAAATAAGGAATTTGAATCGATATTTCATCGAAGGGCAACACGTGATTTAACAATGGCATACGACTATGTACACACGTATAGCAAAATATATGTCGTTCTTCCATTTCAGGATGGTAAATATTTGTCAGAATTCGAACGACGATCGGTTTCGATAACAAAACTCATACCAACGACGACGAGTCGCTGTGAGAAAATTTCACTTTTTGTCATTGAATAATGGTTTTAAATCATCCGTCTCGACGTTCAATTATTTTATTCGTTTTCTCTTTAATATCGTATCATTAATCATAAGCTTTTCTTTCTCTCTCTCTCTCTCTCTCTCTCTCTCTCTCTCTTTTTCTCTATCAATCTTTCTTAATCGTTAAGCAGGTATTAAGAAATCTGATAGCCGAATAGTCAGAATCCGATCAAGTTTCTTTCTTCTATCTATTTTAAACATAAGTTAAAAATTCGTATTACATTAAATTATTATTTATAATGATAACAATTTTAGAATTATTAAAATAGTTAAAAGATTGAAATGACGTTTTGCCATTGATGGAATCAAATTACACACATACACAAACACACGTGAGTTTTTATTTTACTATTATTTTCCGGTTTTTTTTCTCTTTTTTTTTTCTCAATTTATTAAAATCTCGTAATTATTAATATTGCAAAAATAGTTTCAAATATAGCTAATTGATGCAATCAATTATTTTGTTGAAAATCGTGTGACATTTATTCAAGATATATATATATATTTCTTTTTGCATTTTAAAATCATAACGTTTAAAAATATATTTCAAAATTTAAAATTGAGCCACGACGATACGATTTGAAATTATAAAAAAACAAAGATAAAAATATACATGTAAAAATATAAATAGCGGATATAGATAAAATATGTAATAAATAATGCAGATAGAAGAGATGGATAAAAGTTTTTAAAATTCAGGTGAGTAAACAGCATTTATTGTTGAAGCTGTCTACACTTTTCAAATAAAGAAAGTGAAGAAAAAAGAATATGAAAGAAAGAGAGAGAGAGAGAGAGAGAGAGAGAGAGAGAGATGAGATGTAAAGAAAGATAAACGTCGCGAATATACGAAAAGATACATCGATTTGTAAGGATTCTTATCGGAAGAAAGACTGCAAAACAAATCGTTCGACTGACTGGTAGAATATTCTCTTGGAGTTTTCTCAATCGAGAAAACGAGATATCTCGCGAGAGTTAAGAAAGAAGAATCATCTTCTAGCGAATTTCTTTTTCAATAGATAAGCGATTTAATTCGAAATCTTAAACATGATGGATGTGAGAGCGAAAGGAATGGTAGTAGTTTTTTTCAGTGATGTATCAATAAATTTTCACTGTTGATTTTTCTCCTATTCTTATTTGTGGGTTTCTTATTTTAGTATTTAAAAGAAAATGATAAAATTGGAGAAGGAAAACGAATAGAAGAGAAATCGTCAACGATTCTATGAAGAAAAATCGACGTATTCTGATCTTTAAATGTTATGCTCACTCTTCTACCTTTCTTTTACTTTTTTCTTTACTCGTTCTTTCACTTTATCGTACTTCTACGGTTCGTTTTTACAGAAGGAACTTAGCACCTCGCTTAGGCCGCAGAATTGATTCTAGCGCCGGGTGAAGAGAGAAAGTCAGTGTGTTTATTCAGGAACACTCGGGAAAGTCTCTACATGGGCAAAGATTGAACTCGAACTATTTTCAATCAGAGTTCTTCTTGAAGGTTCCATATCCCTTCACTTCGTCTCATTTTCCATTGTACTCTTCAGCAAATCGAATTCAATATTCGCTATAATATTCTCTTGCGTCCTCTATATAATCTTCCCTCTTCATTTTCTCTATCCTTTTTCAATGCAAGTTTTTATGCATTTAAGGGTTGAATCGAGTTATACCGTTCTATATGTACCTACTTGCGATTTTCTGATCGAAATGAATCTTATTTTATTCTTTTCTTTTTTTTTTTTTTTTTTTAATAAAAATAATCAAACTATTCCAAGTCAAATTAAGAAAATCTAAAATCGTAGTAGTTTAATCTGATTATCG